GTTTTCAATCGTCTATATGTGTTTACTCTTTCCTACAGTTGGCCCGACCGATGCACAAAGTGGTCACCGGAGAAGATTTACCTGTTCCACCAGCACTGGAAAGTTTGTTCCTATGGCTGGGTAAGTTGTTGCTGGTAAATCACTGATTTTACGGGTGATTTGTCCCATGTTACATGACTGTTTCTGTTTTCATGATCCTCAAAACGTCAACGAAAAAACGCTAGTCAATTTTGGATAACTAACACGATCAAAGCAACGGCGAGTCCAAGTTGAGGAACAAATGACAGCAGCCTTAGGCATCAGATACAGCATTTAGACTAGTTGTTCTGATAGAGCAAACCTAGCAGTCGTAATGCTTTACTTGTGAAAGCTACTTTCGCACTGATTCTGATGTCAATAAGTCTTATTAAAATCATTCTTCACGAGACAACAATACGTCTACACCTACCTAATGGTGCGGTTCTATTTCTCGTTAGAAACTCTTTACCGAAAACATCATAAGGCCTTTCGGATGCATCAGTGGGTGAATATGATTGATCTAAGTTATTGGTTCTCATTTACTCGAGAACATATTCCGAAGTTGAGGCTACATTCCTTTTCAAACTTTGGTAGCCTTGTTAATAGCGGTGAATTCCATATTACGCCTTAGCACCTTTCGACGGCGTTTCATCTCAAACTTTTTATTTTATTCGTCTTTGTGTTCTAACATCGATTCATCAATTTATTAGCTGGCGTTGTTAGTTGAGTCTAAACAGGAATTCAACGGTTTTTGATCATTTTATCCTGCCACAAACTGGACGCCTGGAGAACGGTCCTATCAGGGTAATTTTACAGCTTATTAGATATAAGATGTGTTTTAGCAAACCGGTGTGTTACCAGAAAGTGCCCCAATATACCATTTGGGTGACAATTGATAAAATGGCTGATTCTCAATTTTAGCAACTCACTGCACAATAAGTCATTGGGTACAATTGTACATATCCCTAGTCAGTGCGTCGATATCAATGTAGACATTCAGACTTGAGGCAATGAGACAGTCTAAGGGATGAGTAACACGTTGATCGTATTTGAGGAACATAACTCAAACCGTGAAAGTCGGTAATTCTTAGAATGGACCGCTCGAAGTATTTGACCAAATGTCCTGTAAAGGTTTACATTATTATAGATTTTCAGATTAAAAACTGTATTTTAATAAAATCTCAAAACACCTGGGTTCCCGAGGAGATATAGAACATTATGGCATGGAAGACCTATGCACCAAGAGTACACATGACTATTGAGTTTTAACTGTTTTGATCAGACAAGTTATTTTTACGTGTGAACGCATGATTCTGGCAAGCTAACCGAAACTGGGGACTTAAATCCTTCCAAACACAAAACACCGAGTACTTTTTGGTGCAATTTACTAGCTCATTTATTTTTGATTTTTACATGCATTTGGGGGGAAACAATTGCTGCAATTATTCGTGAGTCACCATGAAAAAAATATCTCTTTTGGAGGTGATTGTCCTCAACTCGTAATAAATCACTGACGAAGTGATTTACCATTCTTCAGTGAATTCCATGAATGATCTGAAATATTCAACCGATTCGTAAAATAATGAACTTTGTTTTTAATAAACTTTATCATTATTTTCACTCACCCGTCTGAATCCAGACTGTGTGCCATACAAACCATGGTACTATAACGTCCCATGATTTGCACGTGGGAGGAATACTGCCAGGTTGCCCGACCAACCTGAGGCTTTTGGAGGATAGCAGATCACGAACCGCTATGCTCATGATAGAGATCCGTCTCACTCACCCGGTTTTCCTCTGACTATCAAACCATTAAATCAAGAATACTTAGGGATTTTGACATATCAGTCCGTGAAAATCCAGCAACCAGTTTGGGTATGATTGTGAAGTCATCCAAGGTGGTGATATTAACACTCATAATTGTTTTGAAAATTTCAATTGGTTTTGAATAAGTGTCTTCTCCGTGCGCGACATCAAATTCTGCACCTAGCACCCATATATGTTTCTACACTTGAAACTATTTACCTGAAAAGTAATTCCCCGTTTCCTCTCAAATCGCACTCCCCGTCTAATGTAAACTTCACCCAAGCACTCCGGGGGAAAATGATTGGTTTTGAGTTTTACTTTGCCCGAGGATGAACAAGGCACGTGTTCCCTACATGGAGGAAGCTCCAGCCACTAATCACTCACAAGCATCACATATTGACGAACCGGGTATCCTCTTTGTATGAAGACGTGTAATCTGATAGTGTACATCAAGTGGGCTCCGCATGAAGTCATTCAACCCATTTGCGGATGGATTGATGAAAAACTGNCAAAAGTGGCATACCGGATATTGCGCCCATTTGAAATGCATTTTCTAGGTAAAAATCAGTTTGCGACAGCGCGAAGGCACACGTGATCAGGATTGGATTTAATCAATGTTAAATTAATTTGTTTTCCAATGAGCAAGTCAAAGTTTGATGAATAAAACAGATTCCAATTATGTTTAATTCTGTTTGTCTTTGTACTGAACTCAGTTGATTTGTGATGCTTGAAAGTATAACAACNACGGACTGAGCAGGTGAAGAGAACACCACATTAGTGACGATCAGCGCTTCGGAATGCGACATTTTCAAACCCCTAAATGGGGAATCGTGGCGTAAACCGCAGTGTAGTTTCATTACAGGTAACGGTACCCAGCAGAACTTTTTCAAAAGTTTTAAAATAAATTGCTTGGGTCGATAACGTGGCTTGTGTCATGTTGAGGACACCGTTTTCATTGCTCAGAGGAACCAGTCAACCAAACGTCGTTCCTAACCGTTTCCCACTTGTGCCAATGCCTTTCTAAAGAAATTTGCCTAAGATAGATTCGTTTTCATCTGTTCACTCACTTAGTAAACGTGAACAAACCAAAGGTTTTCCAAATTTGCACGTGATATATATATATATATATATGTATGTATGTATAATAAATCAGTGCAACAGTGATAAAGTACATCGACGATGATATATTGACGAGAAGAGGACGCATTTGACCACAATTGCGCATTATAACCAATGTTCATCGAACTATGAAGTGTAGGAACTGCTAGCGCATAATATCGCAAGTGGAATAGCTGATTTCTGAGGTCACGCGGTGTGCACTACTATCAAAAGGTTCATCTGTTATTCCCACTCAGTTTTTGACGACGAAAACCATGTTCTTGAGTGATTTCTAGGATTCTAGATTTCATTGTGATCACAAGAGGTAGTCGGGTTGGGCGGAGCTTTACGGCACATAAATTTATTTCTGTATTGATAACCTCCGTCATCAATGAATGAATGCGATTATCAGTAGTAAGTGTTGATTGTTGAAATGAGTTATGTGCTTGCCAGTTTACCCCTTAAGAACAATGTTACATACATTAAGTAGTAAATTGATTGCTGTAAACTAATTTCAGTTCAAGGGCTATTGATGTTTAAAGCGATAATGTTAGTGCAAGTCAAAGCGGTCTCAAAAGGTGATCTCAGTGTGGCGAACTCGAAAGTTTCCCCAGGTGTTGACATTGAAGTCATATAAAAATAATCATCACTTGGTGAATCAGAAATTACCACTCGTTATTTTTGACAAGGAATGTATAATAACCGTGTTTAACCACGTAGTTCAACTAGACTGTAGCCATTACAATTGTGCTAAATCACGGCTTTCGAATACACACACACACACACACCACGCTTTGATGTCTGATAGTTCTCCATAAACATCGCTGTGCCACATCTTTTCAAGTCTCATCTGTTAACCTTAGCTTATTAGTTTATAATTATAAACTACATTCCTATGTTACACCGGAAACTCAAAAGAACATTTCCATTTGGTGCGTTGTGAACTGCTTGCAGTCTGTTGGTAATGTCCAGTGAAAAAACATATTAAGTTCAATGGAACCTGTTTTCCTAGTTTATGTTATATGCTCTGCTTTATGCTAATTAAGTGACATATGCGACTGGTTTAAATATTTCAAACACACACACACACACTGAGCTGTGCATTAGAGACAAAAATCTGAGAGATTGTATTGCCATAACCTCTATATTAGGTTAGCTTTATACATGACTGCGTGACTACTCCACTNCGCATCACGAATAGAAAAACCACTTTTACTGTTCGCAAAGGGCACATAATTTGCGGTGAATATTATAATGGAAAAACGCTTGAATTTCAGTTTTGAAATGCCGGGGCAGGAGATATCAAAACATCGATTGAAAACGAAACAGAAGGATTGACTGAAAATGCTGGAGTTGGTCGATAATCACTTATATTTGATTCGAATGAACTAACTATATTGAAGTTTATGTCTATTAAATAATATGTACGTACATATATTTCTGTGCATAGTCTCAGACAGCAATCCGGGGGGGGGGGGGGGGGGGGGGACCNGGGGTGAGGGGCGATCCGGAACATTTATTATTTACTCTGATGAGAAACTAACGTTTCAGAAAGTTCTAGTTCATCACCAGCTGTAAAATGTCAGCTGTTCCTTGAATTGATAGCTACATTTCAACTATCGCAATGTTTAACTGGTGAGGCTTTTACAGGGATTAGTCCGCACGATCGATCTACTTGTGAGATCACTTTTTTAATTATTGGGGCTAGTGTGATAGTCGGCGCTTATGGACCTTCTGCAAGGTATTGGCAATCGACTAACAGTGTTCAACGTCTGACTTCGTCGTTTGGATAAACAACCAATAGTTTATTGTAAGACTTTCAAATCCATCGAGGATTTTCGTTGTAGAATACGAAGTTATTGATTCCCGTTCATGGAAAATAACAGAAGTGAAACGAAGAATATTGTTTCTCATTTTCCTTCGTTCTCATTGCAGGTTACATAAATTCAACCCTCAACCCGATCATTTACGCCATTTTTAATCGTGAATTTCGGATTCCGTTCAAAGAAATTCTTCTCTGCCGCTGTCGAGGTATCAATGCCCGGTTGCGTTCTCAACGATACGCTGTTGAATACGGAATGGCAGCATCCACAGTTAGCGGGATGGGCACGCAATACGGACCAAATGATCCAAGTGCTCCACCGTTACCCGGTTCCACAGTTCTTACCAGTAAACGCCGATCTAACACTCCACTGTTACGTCACCCGTCGGATATTGGAAACAATCATTTCGGCTATGCGAATCGACCAAACACAGACAGTTTGAACTTGCCAATCGGTTATCATGGACGCCGTCCAAGTCATTCATCCCATCGGTGAAAGCGTCGAGTAAACCATGAGGATATGGACCAGCGGTGTCCGCTTAAAACTTATCAAGTTGATGAAACTCTCAAGGGGTCCATGGTGCAAACGATTATGAAGTTACAAGATAGAAAACTGTCTGGTGGCAGACATAAGCCTCTGACTTTGTTGATCATTCATTCGCCTATGAATATCATAGGGTATATTGGAACGGGATATTCGTCGTAGACAATCTAACCGCATTGGGCTCCGAAACGTTCCGGTGGAGTGTTGTCCGAGATGCAAAATACACGCATACTAAATCCCTGCAAATTATTCGCCAATATTCAAGTCAATCTCTTTCAGTGCTGCCCTTTTATTTTATCAAATCGAGTCACTATCGTCCCACTTAGGAAAACCTCGTCAATTAATACGTGCACCCCTTTTATTATGCGTCAGCTTTTCATCTGCCTCGCTCGCTAGCTCGATCTCTATTTCATTCTTCCGACTTTGGATATCGCACAACAGTCATATATGCACTGCGTGTGTGCACAGTGCTTCGCTATTTTCCTTATGCCCGCCACGGCGATGATTGTTGCATATCGAACAGCCGTTTGCTCGCACGCGCACTCTCACACACGCGCGTAACCTCACATGGATTGCTTTTCATTTTTCCTCTTCCTAGGGCATCTGATTGATTCCATGATTTCTCGTCCCCCTCTTCAAACCACTTGCTGCT